TCTTCCATTCCCTTCCCCTTCTTGTGTATTTCCCCTCTCCCCAGCAACCAAACTACTTTCCCCTCTCTCCCCTCTCCCCACCACCCACATCCCAGTAACCAGCAAAGAATTCCCACCCCCCTTTTAGTATGGGTTCTTTTTCTTAGTATTTTACAATAGGGTCCTATGCAGTATTTATCCTTTTGTGACTGAGTAATTTCACTCAACATAATGTCCTCAAGGTTCATCCATGTTATGTGGTGGCTTACAGCTTCCTTGTTGTTCTTCAAAGTAGCATAATATTCCATTGTGTGTTTGTATCACAGTTTGTTTATCCATTCTTCAATTGATGGACACTTAGGCTGTCTCCATCTTTTTGCTGTTGTAAACAGTGCTGCTATGAACATTGGTGTACATGAAGAAGCACCATATTACTTTCCAGAGAGGCTGGACCAGTTTGCAATCCCACCAGCAATGCAGGAACGTCCCAATCTCTCCACATCCTTGCCAGCATTTATTGTCATCTACTTTTTAAATCTTTGCTGTTATTGCTGGTGTGAGATGATATCTCATTGTTCTTTTGATTAGTGATCATGAACATTTCTTCATATGTTTGTTGGCTGCCTGGATCTCCTCCTTGGTGAAGAGTCTATTCATGTCCTATGCCCATTTTTAGTTGGGTTATTTGTCTTTTTCTTGTAGAGATGTTGTAGTTTCCTATATATTTTTAAAAATTAGTCCTTTGTCTGATCTGTCATAGCAAAAGAGTGTTTCCCATTTTGTGGGTTCCTTTTTTACTCTTTTGGTGATTTATTGATGCACATAATTTTTTAATTTTTAATATGTCCCATCACCTATTTTGTTTACTTTTATTTGTATACTTTTCAAAATGTTTGGTGGTCTGAATTAGAGTCCTCACATTTGTCCTTATATTTTCACTGATGGCCTTCATAATTCTGGGATTCACATTTAGGTCTTCAATCCATGCTGAGTTGGTTTTTGTATAAGGCGTGAGGTGAAGGTCTTCTTTCAATCTTTTGCATATTGCTTTGCAGTTCTGCCAACACCATCTGTTGAAATATCACCTCCCAATGCTATATATTTAGGCACATTGTCGAAAATCAATTGACTGTATGTGGATGGGTTAATTTCTGTATTCTCTATTCTGTTCCATTTATCAATGTATCTTTCATTGTACTAGTACTAAGCTGTTTCGACCACTGTAGCACTGTAATAAATTTTGAAATCAGCGAGTGAGAGGTTTCCAACATTTTTCTTCTTCTTAAACAGTACTTTGCGTATCCTGGGTCTCATTCCTTTCCATATAAAGTTTGTAATTGTTTTTTCCATCTCTTTAAAGAATGTCATTGGACTCTGGATTGGGATTGCATTATATGTGTAAATTTCTTTGGGCAGTATTGGCATTTTCACAATGTTAAGTCTTAATATATAGGAGCATGGTACATTGTTCCATTTTTGTAGGTCTCTTTTGGTTTCTTTTAGTCATGTTTTGTAGTTTTCTTTGTATAAATAAATCCTTTGTTTCTCCGGTTACATTTAATCCTACATATTTTTTTCTTTGGGCGGCTATTATAAATGGTATTGCTTCCCTAATGTCCTTTACAGAGCTGCAATTATTGGTATGGAGGAATCCAACTGATTTTTGTGTGTTGATCTTATATCTTGCCACTTTGTTGAATCCCTTCAATTCCTAGTTTGTTGTGTGTTTTTATCAGGAATGGATGTTGGATTTTATCAAATGCCTTTTCAGCATCAATTGATATGATCATGTGGTTCTTTTCTTTTTTCTTATTTATATGGTGGATTATGTTGATTGTTTTTCTAATGTTGAACCATCCTTGCATCTTTGATAAAAATCCCACTTGATAACGATGCTTTTTTTTTTTTTTTTTTAATGTGCTGCTGGATTCTGTTGGCTAGGATTTTGTTGAGAATTTTTGCATCTATGTTCATGAGGGATATTGGTCTATTAATTTCTTTCTTAGTGACATCCTTCCCTGGTTTTGGTATGAGGGTTATGCTTGCTTCATAAAATGTATTAGAAAGTTTTCTATCCTCCTGTATATTCTGGAATAATTTGAGTAGAATTGGTGAGAGCTCTTCCCTGAATGTTTGGTAAAACTCACCAGTGCAGCCATCTGGGCCTGGACTGCTTTTGGTTGGGAGTTTTTTTGATGACCTGATCAATTTCTTCTTTTGTTATGGGTCTGTTCAAGTTTTCTACTTCACTCTGGGTAAGTTTAGGTAGGTCGTGGTTTTCAAAAACTGTATCCATCTCTTGTGAGTTTTCAAATTTGTTGGAGTACAACTTTTCATTGTATTTTTTTATTATCCTTTTGATTTCCTTTGGTTCCGTTCTGACATCACCCATTTGGTTTCTAATGCATGTTATTTTTGTCTTCTCCCTCTTTTCTTTGTTAGGGTTGCCAATGGTTTCAATTTTATTAATCCTGCTAAAACAACAACTTCTTGTCCTGTTGATTTTTTCTATAGTTTTTCTGTTTTCTATCTCATTTATTTCTGCTCTAACATTTATTATTTCTTTTCTTTTGGTGGCTATTGGTTCCCTCTGGTGTTCTGTTTCTAATTGTTGTAGATGTTGTGTTAATATGTTAATTTTGGTTCTTTCTTCTTTTTGGCTGTGTGCATTTATTGCAATAAATTGTCTTCCACACCACTTTAACCATGTCCTTAGATTTTGATATGTTGTATTTTTGTTCTCATTTGTTACTAGGAGCTTTGTGAGTTCACATTTAATTTCTTCTACTACCCAGTCACTTTTTCAGCAGGGTGTTTTATTCAGTTTCCATGTATTTGACTTCATTTCCTTGGTCTTCCTATTGTGGATTTCTAATTTGATAGACTTTTGGTCTGAGAAGATGCTTTGTAGTATTTTGATATTTGTAAATTTGTGTAGGTTTGTTTTGTGGCCTAAGACATGGTGTGTTCTGGAGAATGTTCCATGTGCATTGGAAAAGAAAGTGTATTGTGCTGTTGTTGGATTGAATGCTCTGTACACATCTATGAAGTCCAGTTGGCTGATTGTGTTGTTTAGTTCTGTGTCTTTGTCAAGTTTCTTTCTGAATGTTCTATCCATTTTTGAAAGCAGTGTATTAAAATTGCCCTCTATTATTGTAGATTCATCTAGTTCTTTCTTCAAATCTATTAGAGTTTGCTTTATATATTTTGGTGGGAGCATAGATATTTATTATGTTATGTTATCTTGTTCAAATGTCTCTTTAATCATGAGATAGTGTCCATCTTTATCTATTATGCTGGTTTTTGCCTTAAAGTTTATTTTATCAGAGATTAGTACTGCCACTCTTCTTCGTTTTTTTATTGCAAATAGCTTAGTATGTTTTTTTCTATCCTTTTACTTTTAATCTGTTTTTGTCTCTGTGTGTAAGATGTGTCTCTTGCAGACAGCATATTTACGGATCTTGTTTTCTTATCCATTCTGCCACCCTTCATCTCTTAACTGGTACATTTAATCCATTTATATTCAGTGTAATTATCAATAAGTATGGATTATTTGCTGCCATTTTGTTTGCTTTTTTGTGGTGCTGCTACTTTCTTTGTTCTGTGTGTCTTTCTTTGCTGAGTTAATGGTTTTTGTGTTCTTTCTTGTGAGTTTCCTCATAATTTTAATGTTTCCATATTCTTCTTGGATTTCCATTTTTTGGTATATTGTCAAGTGTTAATTTTCTTGAGGTTACCTTACATTACATTAACTTTTCCTTCTATTTAGTGCAGTCTATTTTATCCTATAATCTACCTGACCTTCTCACCATCTGTATGTCTGTTCCTATGTGTTTACCTTCTTTCACATTATAATTGTTCTGATCATGGACTGACCTTCCAGATTCTCTGAGTTTGTTCTTATAGTTTTGTACTGTTCTCAAGTCTTCTCTCTGTTGATTTAGTTCTTGGAGTTGCTGCAACACATGTCAATCTCTAGTTGTTGTCTGTTCTTATTGTTTCTCAGTCCACAGAACTCGCTTTAGGTTGTTTTGTAGTACAGGGTTGGCTTTGGCAAAAATCCCTTAGCTTTTGTTTATCCTGGAAAGTTTTGATTACATTGTCATATTTGATTGATAGCTTTGCTGGATAAAGGATTCTTGGTTGGCAGTTTTTTTTTTCCTTTTCTTTCAGGCCTTTATTATGTCTCCCCATTGCCTTCTTGCCTGCATGGTTTCTGCTGAAAGATCCAAGCTTAATCTGACTTGCTTGCCTTTGTATATAACACTTCTCTTTTCCCTAGCTGCTTTCAGGATTGTCTCTTTATCTTTGATTTTGGAGAGCGTGATTATGATATGTTTTAGTTATATCTTTTGTGGTCTATTCTTCCTGGAGTCGTTGAGCTTCTTAAATGCTTATCTTTTCGCTTTTTAGGATGTTAGAGAAATTTTCTTCCAACAGCTCTTCAACTATCTCCTCTGTGGACTTTTGTGATTCTTCTTATTCTGGAATGCCGATAATTCTTAAGTTGTTCCTCTTCATGTTGTCGAACATGAATCTTATGCCGTCTTCAGATTTTTTTAATCCTTTTTTCTTCTTGCTCTTCTATCTTAGTAGTTTTGAGAGGTTTGTCTTCCAGCTCACTAGATCTGCCTTCCATCTCTTCAGTTCTACTCCTTTGCCATTTCAGTGTATTGTCTATTTCTGATATTCTATTATTAATGATTTGTACCTGTTTCTGTAGGTTTTGATTTGTTTCCAATGCTGTATCTATCTTATTTGATTGTTCTGTAGGTACTCCTTGGAAGCTCTGTACAGGGTCGCTATGAGTCAAACTTATTAGAAGTCACTTAACATCAACAACAATATAGCCATTAACATCTTGTAAATGAGTATTTACAAATGTGTTTGATACAAGAGGTACATGATGGATTATAAAAGTCTTTAAATTGACTAAGGGTTATTGATTTTTTTTTTTTTAACACAATTTCTGTCTTTGAATTTTTCCCCTAGTGCCTATTTTTTTTTTTTTTTTTAAATAGGTGCTACTTGTGTGTTAAAAAAGAAATTCTCAGCAAGCCAGTTTTGGAATGACTGCAAAAAGTATAATGTAACCACATTTCAGTATATTGGAGAACTTTGTCGCTACCTTTGCAAACAGCCTAAGGTAAGAGTACTCATTTCCTGAGAGAGAAATTACAGAGAGAAAAATTATTGAGAGGTAAAAGATAATTTTTATTCATTTTTTATAATCTGCTTTCCCCCCTCTAGAAAATAGTTCAATTGGCTTACAGAGATTCATGGAATACCACAAGATGAAACAAATAAAAAACAAGTCAGAAAAAATAAAAGAGTGTAATTTGGGAATGTGCTAATGGGATTTGCACTGTGGTAGGATAGACTCCTGGTATGGTGCTGTGGGTTAATGTGCTGGTCTGCAATGTCAGTTTGAACCAAAAGTTGGCAGTTCAAATTCACCAGCTGCTCCTCAGATACCTGATACAGGATTACTGTGCATTGAAACCAATTCCAGAGCACTTAACAGTAAGGATGGAACAGACTCATAATTGTGTCTGCTTCACATTAGAGTGATTAAACTTCAGATTATGCAATTAGATATGTGCTTTGCTTATAGAGAGCAATTACTCCAAGGTTAAAGTACATATTTTAAAGGTCTGCTCATTTGTAAAAGGTTTAATGTCATTTACTATACTTTTTCTTTTTAAATTAATGATTACATTAGAATGACCTTTTGTGTTTATAAACTTAAAAAGAAATTTTGCTTGTATTGTCACTTGTCTCCTTACTTAAGCAGATTTTTTCATATACTTTTGATAACTTGCCACCCTCTGAAAATTAGACAAGCAGAGAGAGTTGACAATATACTAAAGTCTGTCTTTATTCAGTTGTTTGCTTTTTTTTTTTTTTTTTTTTGCTCTTGGAAGTCAATTTCCTTTTCTGGTCTCATTTGTATTTCCAAATTCTTATTTTTTAAATGACTGATTTTTTTTTCAACATTCTTAAGGCTACAAAAAAGTGACACCTTCTTAAATAAAATCAATACCAAACCCTTCAAGCTGGAAATACAAGTTGTACCCCACAATGGACAGGGCAGCAGAATCTGTTGTGATATAGCTTTCCTTAGAGTGGTGCTGCAGGGTAAGCATTTGACCGTGAAGTCAGTTTGAGCCACGAGGTCAGCAGTTCAAACTCACCAGCCGCTCCTCAGAAATCCTAGACAAAGTCACTAGACTGACTCAACAGTACTGAACAACAATGCATCAACTGAGAAACTAGGTTTCTCATTTGTTATATTTGCCATCACCATTCCAGTATCAGGTGTGAATGGTGGATCAGGATATCCTCTGGTTAAAATGTCTTCTGGACATGCAGTCTTCCTTTAAGTAATTACAGCATTAAGCCAAGAAGTTGCCTTCCTATCATTTCTGACTTATAATTGACCCATGTGTGTAAGAGTCTAAGTGTACTGTAGGGTCTACGGGGTTGGGACCTTTAGAAGCATATTGCTAGACCTTTCTGCCAAACTGCTGCTGGATGGGTTCAAGTGCATCACTGTTTACACTACCCAGGACTACTCACAACATACCTGAGAGTAAACTGGAAACATTTAAATAAGACATTTTTAAGAATCTGAGATTATAGAGTGAACATGAACACAGTAAAAACAGTAAGGAAACTATATAATTTATCTGAAAAAAAAAAAAAGCTTTTATTCACTTTAAGCACAGAGTTTAGCATGGAGAGACCTTCTGCTTAGGCCCTGACCCACTTCTATGTGGCAGAAGCCATCCTTGCACCCTTGTCAATCAGGATTGCTTCAGTTAGCTGTGGATTCCCTTAGATTCTTAGCTGGGACCCTCTACACAGTACATCCCAGAGAAAAAAACAATTAGTTTTTTAATGATTCTTCTCAGAGAGGCTTTGCCAATATTAAGGTTGTATTCTTTCCTAAAGAGCCCTAATAGAATGATTATAATACTACAGTTTCATATATTTTACCTTTTAGTTTTTATCATATTATATGGTTATGGTATATCCGGACTAGGTTTATTTAGGAAAATCTTTTCCATTAGGAAAATAACCATCTTCAGATGAGGTTCCATGGCAATGAATAGTTTTTCATAGGACATAGTACAAGTACAGAGTCCTGTTGTGGCACTGGGGGTTAATGCACTGGACTGCAAAGTCAGTTTGGACTGCAAAGTTGGCGGTTCAAGCTCACCAGCCATCCTTGGAAACCATATACAGGGCCACTATGGGTCAGAACCAACTTGACAGCTCTTAACAACAACAACAACAGTACAAATACCAGTTGTCATTGAGTTGATTCTGACTCATGGTAACTTTATGTTTGTCACAGTAGAACTGTGCTCCATAAGGATTCAATGGTTGATTCTTTGGAAGTAGAACACCAAACCTTCCTTCCTTCTGTGTGGACTTAAGCCTCCTAGATTTCAGTTACCAGCTGAAAGTGTCCCACCATTTGTACCACCCACAGACACTAAAGGCATAGTATCATTGTTCTTAGGTGCCATCCAATAGGTTCTGATTCATAGCAACTTTATGCACAACAGAACGAACCATTGCTGGTCTTGCACCATCCTCACAATTGCTATATTTGAGCCTGTTGTTGCTGCCAATCCATATCATTGGATGTCTTCCATATCATTGTTGCTGCCAATCCATATCATTGGATGTGTCACTCCATATCATTGGATGTCTTC